TCCCTGAAAGGCAGAAGAGGGATGGGAAACAGCCCTGAGCAGTCCTAGGGTTTGTCAGGAGAGAGATGAGGAGCCTGGAGCAGTCCCTGGGGGTGGCAGGAGAGGGATGGGGAGCTCGGAGCAATCCCTGAAAGGCAGGAGAGGGATGGGGAACAGCCCTGGGGGTGGTAGGGGTGGGACGGGGAGCCCTGAGTGGTCCCAGGATTTATCAGGAGAGGGATGGGGAGCACTGAGCAATCCCTGAAAGGCAGGAGAGGGATGGGGAACAGCCCTGAGCAGTCTCTGGGTGTGTCAGGAGAGGGATGGGGAACCCTGAGCAGGCCCTGAAAGGGACTCTGAATCCCTGGGGGTGGCATGAGAGGGATGGGGAACAGCTCTGAGCAGTCCCTTGGTGTATCAGGAGAAGGATGGGAGCCCTGAGCAGTCCCTGGGTTTTTCAGGAGAGGGATGAGGAGTTCTGAGAAGTCCCTGAAGGGCAGGAGAGGAATGGAGATCCCTGAGCAGTCCCAGGATTTGTCAGGAGACGGTTGAGGAGCCCTGAGCAGTCCCAGAAAGGCAGAAGAGGGATGGGAAACAGCCCTGAGCAGTCCCTGGGTGTATTAGGAGGGGGTTGGGGAACTCTGAGCAGTCTCTGAAAGGCAGGAGAGGGATGGGGAACAGCTCTGAGCAGTCCCTGGGTTTTTCAGGAGACGGATGGGGAGTCCTGAGCAGTTCCTGAGTGGCAGGAAAGGGATGGGGAACAGCCCTGAGCAATCCCAGAATTTCTCAGGAGACGAAGAGGGAGCCCTGAGCAATCCCAGGATTTGTCAGGAGAGGGATGGAGATCCCTAAGCAGTCTCTGAAAGGCAGGAGAAGGATGTGGAACAGCCCTGAGCAGTCCCTGGGTATATCAGGAGAAGGAAGGGGAGCCCTGATTTTGGCAGGGGCTGGAATCAGGCACCCAGGGCCATTTTTGCACCGAGAGATAAATCAGGATTATTTACATGTGCTTTGCTCACATCCCCACCTCTGTGGCAGGGAAGGAGGGGCTGGAGATGATTCTGTCTCCTCAGCCCTGAAAGGAGCTGAAAATTGTCCTGGTSTTCAAAATGAGGAAAATGGAGATGGAAAGAGTGCACAGGAATAGCTGAGTTTAGGCCAAGTGAGCTGAGGCTCRAAGAGTTTTGATTTGATTGCTGCAGAGGACATGAAATGGGAAGGATGCACTGAAAAGCTCCATCCAAACTCTGAAAACAGATCCAGGGCTGTCCTTCCCTTCCCAAATGTTTTCCTTGTCCAAACTCTTCAGTCAGGGAGCAGTTGTTTGTGGGTAAATCCCAAAAAT